CTCGAGGGGACACCCTTTTTCACAGCATATTCTAGACGCCGACCTGCCTCAGGGGTTTAGAGAACTTAACATCTGGTACGATGGGTCGACTGACCCCTCTCGACATCTGAGTAGTTTTGAAAACATGGCAGTACTGCACCGCTACAATGATCCCGTTTAATGTCGAGCGTTCCTGACAACTCTGCGGGGCCCTGCTCAAGACTGGTTTCATCAGTTACCCCCAGGAGCCGTCAGGGACTTCGACGGATTTAGTTCGAGTTTCCTAAATCAATTCGCAAGTGTAAAAGCCCAAGAAAAGTCTTACCTTACCCTTATAGGCATGCAACAGAAAGAAGGGGAATCATTGAGGGACTACGTGGCAAGATACACGCGAGCATGCGTCGACGTCCCCTCAGCCACTGAGGAAATCAAGTCGGGAGGACTCACTCGAGGATTACTCCCGGGATTGTGCAGGAACTCCTAAGCGAAACGACCCGGGAGGACGTTCGATGAAGTATTGGGAAGGTGCGCCAAGTACATGAATATCGAGGAAGTTGAAGCCGACTTTTTGCAGGCAGCTAAAGCAAAAATTGAGTCTCGGGACGAGAAGAAGGATAAGAAACCAACTGCGACGGGAGAAAGGAAAGGATCCCCGAAGTCGAAAAGGGAGGGGCGATCAAGGGGATGGAGGACAACTCAGTATACTCCCCTGATAGCCTCGAGCGCAAGGATATTAGAGGTAATGGAGAAAGAAATTCGCGAAAATGTGGTCAGGTGGCCACGGACGAGAAAAGATGGACCGACAAAACCCAAAAGTGATCTGTATTGTCGATTCCACAAGGATTATGGGCATAATACCGAGGAATGTCGGCACCTGAAAAATGAGATCGAGAGGCTAATCAAAGCAGGCCATCTAAAGGAGTTCGTTTATAAAGATTGAGATCGAACCAGTCGGCAAAGAGACAGAAGCAAGAGTCCTCGCAAGAGGGCGAGGACACCCGACAAGGAGGAGCTCCCTCAAAAAAGAGGAATAATTCATATGATATTCGGAGGGCCGACTGATGGAGACTCAAATCGGGCCAGAAAGGCATATGCTCGAGGCCGCCACAGAAAAATTGAAGTGCAACAAGTTGAGGAAAATGGTCCAGTAATGAATTTCGGG